CGTTAGTAAAAACATGCCGATTCACACGCCTCGGTTCTATCGTAACCCCAGTGTTAAACACGATAACGTTGGCGCATGCAATTTGGCAATAAATTCTGCAAGCCTGTCGATCGTTCTGAATGGGATGATCGCTTAGTCTGCTTCGTAATGCGTTTCGTCAGTGGCTGCTGCGCGCAGATCAAACATCCACAAGATTCTCTTTGATGTTTCGGCGAACGTTAGGCTGGCTGAACAACGTAGCGTAGGCGGATCGATGCGCGATCAGACGGGGAACACGAGTACGTGACGTTATCGCATCAATCGGGATCCAGCGAGCGATATCAGAGCAGACGGGGCGGGCGCCGCCAGGATCGGCAGTGAAGAAGCTCGCGCTGATTCTGGCACGCTTTGCTAGAACGACGATGCCCTAATATCCGATCGTGTATGCGTGCGCCCGTGTACACGTACTCGCGCAGGGATTAGATTCTATTCGGACAAACGGCGCCGGTCTGTTTCAGTCCGGATTAATGTCGAGCCTTTAATCTATACGTTATGCCCTCTTACCTGGCCGAACGGCCGGAATCGGCCACGCCAGTTTGCAAAATTTAGTACAGCCATTTGTTACACGTTATCCGACGTGGCATCGAACCGGAAGACTCTGTCGAAAATCCGAAAATTAAGTCCGCGAACATGGCGCGGCCTTAAGAATTGTCCTGTACTGTGACAACGGAATGTAGAACGCTGCACAGCTGAACTGATCTCGATGCCATACCGCATTGCAGTTTTGAAACTGTTCTCAGATCGAAGTAGACGCAACTTCACGTTTGGATCGAGTATAATTTTTTTTTGTGAACAAAACGATTTCAATATTTTTTTTCTATCAATAAAGGAAATAGAAATTCTATTTCATAAAATAGAATAATTCTCTATAATATTAGTAATATCGAAATGTTTATCGCATATTCATTATAGAATATTCCCAATGATCAAAAGCAATTAATTGCAATTGTATGAATTACGTATCTTCTGTTCAATCGCTATTAACGTTTTCGATATATCTGTGTGTGTATGTGTGTGTGTGTGTGTGTGTCTATCTCGTGGTGTATTTGTATAAAGCGTCATGGAAAGTGTGATGAATTTTGCATCGGGACGATAGCCTGATCAACAATTCAGTTAGAGTAAAATTAGGTTGGCCAGGATATGAAACGTCAAATCGTATCCTAGGAACGTCGATGGTGATTGAAATTAAATATTCAATCGGTTCGGAATATTAAATCAAGCAGAAAGAAGAGAGATGGGAGAAATGCAGACAATGCTCCTTATGAAATTACGTTAAAGCATCGCCGCCGTAAAAATGTCAAATCTAAATTCCACGGATCGTATCGTGCTTTAATATCATTCCTCCTTTCGATTCGTAACATTTCAATGTCCCACGGCTCATTAGGTTTATTTCAATCTCGTTAATAAAACAGTTTAAAATAATACATATATTCGTTTTTCAAAACAGAACCGATTGTAAGACGATCTCAAGTCCGTGTGAATCTTGTTTTCTCAAGAACACAAGACGAAAGATGCTCTTACGAGGTCAGTCAATGCATAAGTAATAACGTTGCACGGGTCCCGTCGCTCTCGCTCGGTTTTACAACCAGCGATACGAACACGGCTCACGTTCGGGGCTGACGAAGTTACGTTCGGAGACATAGCCGGATCCTATTGAGAACGAGACGGAAGAAAGTTTCGAGCGGCGCGCCGCGGTGCGATGTGGACGAGGTTGGTTTCAATCGGAAATGGGGTTCCAACCAGCCGAATAAACGACAACCGAGCCGTGATAGACGGTAGCGGCGCAATTTAAACTTTCTCGTTCTCGCCGTGCCGCGCCGGCTTATGGTACGTTCGCTCCTTTCCTTTGGGCTGGCCACAGCTCCTGGGCGACAGCCCAGAAGGAACATGGCAGGAGACGATACCGATAACGTACTGTGCACGGTAACATTAAATTCAGCTGAAAATGATCAAAGAATAAGCAGGAGGCTTTCTTGGCGCGGCTCCAACCGGGACGTTTCTTGCCGCGAAGAAAGCAAAGATCGGATTTCCTGGCGACAAGATCGCGAATGAACATGTTCCTCGGGTTATTAACCCCTTTTTTCTTGTTTTATGACCGACGCTAGATGTTGCGTGGCATACAAACAAGAAACGTGCATACCAAGAAGACTTTAAATGTTTATTAGATAACAACTATATAGAGTGATATATTCTGTTCTTTTTTTGCATCAACAAATTTCACTTAAATGTTATACTTGTACAATGAAATACATGTATAGTAATGGAAACCTGCTGATTGCCTATCAGGTATCCATAGTATTACAATAGCAATTAATTAGGCTCAGCCTAACTGTTAATTATGGAAATTTATGATTGAAGCAGCAGTGGTTAAACGGAAGCGTAACGCACACTTATGTATATCGAAAATGCACATCCGGGGATTCCTCCCCAATTCGACGCTTGGGTATTGGCAATTAGGTTAAAAACAGTTTTTGATTACCGGTCCGTTTAAATGACTGTTCCAACCGATTCAGTTTCAAGTTCCTGCCAGACGTGTATATATAGTTGCCTAACCAATTTCCTCTCACTTAGCTGAGTGGATTGAGCAAAACTTGTCTGGTTGTACAGACAACTACGCGCGCTGCGAAGAGAGCCACAAAGGAGATGACTGTGGAAGCTTCTCCAGATCGTCTAACGTTACCCATACATTCATGTACTTGTTAATTTAGATAAGATGAAGAAATTGCAGTAACAGCGTTAATGTCAACTGGGATAGTTACAATCCTCCTTACAATCATTATTGATGAACAGATCCTTCTTAAGTCCAATTTGTCTGCTATTTTTATTGCATAAATACTAACAGACAAGTATTAATTTGAATTAATATTATGACCATAATTAATACCAATTCATTGTATTACTACGTCAGTAATATCATTGAATTTAACGATACTATTGATTAATCCACTGCTAGTACAGCTAATAGATTCTCGCGCGTAGGGCCCTCGATATCCCTAAGCATATTTGTTATGACGACAAACTAGTTTAGTAATAACAGGTACAATACTGATCATATTCAGCGGTGCATAAGTAATAAAACATTTGTGGCTGTACATTTGTTTGTACGATGTACATACGTGCACGAGAGAAATTGATGGTTGAACGTAGAACCTTATTTTATAGCGTTGATCAGTTAAACCATTCGTTGTTAACTAAATCACGCAAGGGAGGTGTTGAAAACGTGACGTAGCGTGCCAATCGATATTTCCGGTTTAGAACGTTTCCGTGACCGGTTATACGGAACTCTTTGAATCCGGCGCAGCAGCTTTTTACGAGCGTAACACTCGCGAAATTACACTTGCCCACGAAGACTGTTGGATTTCTATTGCGAGTGAGCACGTATCGGTCGTTAGTCCACGCCGCGCGCCACCGCCGGTCCCAGTACTTTTATTTTACCCGAACGCGGCGCGGTTCGCGAGCAGTGCAACGACGGCACAAAACGATGGACATTAAAATGCGAGTCGAGTGAAAAATCGTACGTTTCAGGAAACACGGAGTTCGACTGAATGCGCCGCTAACGAAAAGGCAACGGGAAGGAAAAAACTATAGTAATTGCGCGCGTAGTGGAATCTCTTTTTACGGCGGGACTGTCCGGACCCGAATGAGATGGCGTTTCCTATAGCTCTTCACCGGGTATACGGTCAATAATGGAAGTCTTCAGATAAGAAATAAAATCGTTAAGTTGTCGGAAAGATTCTGCAGGATAATGTGGTGAATAAAATATTTTTAGTTACTCGGAGTTTCTTATTCTTGGAACGGCTTATGGTATTGGTACCTGTGGGGCTTCTATGATATGATCCTGGTGAAACTGTAACGTATCTTGGTTTTCCGTTTCACTGAATTGCAATTGATCCGCGACCCGTGCAATGATTGCACGCCTGATAAACCACAATATTGCGATGTCAACATCACTCGCTGATAGTTTTATCCCGCGGAAATTACACGCGCAGCAGTACCGAATTTCCCAATCCGTAATTACTTAAAAGCTTCATGTTCGAGCACTGAACGAGATAAAAATTATTATTTTAAAATTGAGTCAACACCGAAATCGAATTTAGCGATACGCGACTGAAAATACTGAAAGTAATATGTTACATCTGCCTGGTTAATATAATATAATTTAGGAATAATCCAGTTCGAAAATGTTCTTCAGCAGCCAGTTTCCAAAACTCGATTCACGTCGCGAGCAGCACGCAGTGTGTTTGCTTTTCTTCTAATTTCGGTTTACGTAAATCTAGGTCATGAAAACATTTGCAGGAACGATGAGGGCGTTGAAAGAGCGTCCGCAAAAACAGATTTCGAATGCAATGCGTACTTTCGTCGACAAAGATTCTCAGTAAATTCGCAGTACGAGTGATACGTGACTACGTTCGCGTATAACGCCTGTCGTTTCATTGTTTAATTTACATAAATCGCAAACCGTTGAACGCATCCCGCGGAATCAGTCACCGCGGAACGGATACGCAACGGCACGAAAAAAAAGCATCGTTCCTCGAGCCAATAGTCACCGTATCCACCGGCGCTTTTCCACTCTGATGTCGGCTAATTAATTCAAGCATCAAATATCAGTTTCGGTATCGTGAATAAAATTTTCACTTAATTTCGGCTCTCGATCTCCCGTAGCTGTCGCGCGCGGCGTGAAACGTACAAACACTTTTATCTCATGATCTCTCTGGTTGCGTAACAAAACGTTTGAAACTTGCTCGAAGTACGAACTAACGTGATCAAATATTGAAAACGATCGACGACATGATTTTTCAAACATTGTTTGCAATTCAGGTATGGTTTACACAAGTAAAACAAATTCTAAAACTCGTTCACTCGTTCACATTGTCAAGAGAAACGAGTAAATGAATTGCCATTTTTAGTATCGTATGTTTTTTTATCGTTCTATGTAAAATTTTATTTGATTCGATTTGCAGCAAAACTGGACGGCGTGAAAACATACATGAGGATGAGAAGGGTGCCCAAGCATCTTCAGGTGAAAGTGATTAAATGGTTCGACTACCTTTGGCTAACACAAAAATGTTCGGACGAGGAGAGAGCCGTCAGTTGCCTTCCCGGTGAGCTTTTTTTTTCTACACTTCCGTCAAAATCTCTAACGAGCTTTTAAAATATTAAAATATATGTAGGTCGCAACGTTTTACATCGTATCAGAAGTAGACGGATAAAAAAAAAAATAAAACTATCGCTCTTAAATTCTTTACGGTGGAAAAAGGATGTGAAGCACATCTAACTCGAACGAATAGGAAACGTAAGACTCTTTAAAATAATCCTGCCTTTGAAATGTTACAGACAAGCTGAAAGCCGAGATCGCGATAAACGTGCACCTGGATACGTTGAAGAGGGTGGAAATTTTTCAGAACACAGAGGCTGGTTTCCTATGCGAGCTCGTGTTAAGACTGCGACCCGTTCTCTTCTCACCTGGCGACTATATCTGTCGCAAAGGTAGCTACAGCTTCTACACTTCCGATTTCCTCCTCTTCTCTCGTCTCCTTTTCCTGTTTCTTCTACCGTCTCCATGTATTTTTTTCTTCCGCGTCACGCTTTTCCTGGACACGGTGCTTTTAGAACGAGCATTTGGACACCCGCCAAGAGATGTACCCAGGTCGAGCGAGGGGAAGGGTGGAAAAGCGATTGCCTACCCTTTCCACTTGGCCTCGTTGCCAATAGCGTATCTAGAAGGCGCAGTTATGAGCGAAATACTTTATTCGAAAAGATAACCAACCATGGTGCAGATCGTGGAAATCACTCGTGCTGAGTGACTGGCTGGCACTCTGCTAAAAGTTTCTTTCCATTTTATTTTCCCAAACGCTTTTCAATCACCGCGGACGGAAGTTCCATTTAATAAAAATAAAAACGTGCTTTATAAAACAGCTACACGCGATTATTTTCGCACTTTGATTATTATTATCGAATGACAAGAATTAAGGATGTATTGGCTATACAGTCAATCCCAAAAGATTATGTACCTTAGAAAAACGCATTTCCTATAATTAAAAAGAAATCAGACGTCGGAAGAATAATGCTAATAAT